GCCGATTCTCAATATGGGATTCCGAGAAGGTGTCCATGTGGTGGAAGAATCATTGATGAGGTTCGGGGGAAGGAAGACTACGACACTCTTCCTGGGAAGCGCTTCTTCACCCGCATAAACTACGAGGTAAGTCTCCATCTTTATTTTATGTTCTTGTAAATTATGTTGCACGAACTCTCTATGAATTTTGTTTATGTTGCCAACAAGGATGATGGGTTACATTATCGTCATCCTTGGGTGATTGGTGTCCAGGAGGAGATTGAAAAGTTGACTAAGCAGGTGGAGGTGGCTGAGCAGGTGATCAATGGGATCTCCACTATCAATAAACAAATTGAGTTCTTGGAGGTTAGTGAAGTATACTTGCTAGTGATTGTATATTTGTATAGTTATCAAGTTATTAAGTCACTAACACAGTTTCGTTTATGTGTTTCCATGGCCAGGAACAGGTTAAAGTCCTCTCTGGATTGGTTGATTACCTCACAGTGCAGATCGCTGAACTGGAGCAGCTCTGCTATCAATGAAAACACAAGGTAATTCTCGAAAACACAAGTTTAGTTTTGTTTTTTAAATTAGGTCTCTAAATTCAACTACAATTTTATTTTCATTAAGTCTGTCTTGGTTGTTGGCTGTGATGAATGTTCGGTTTTTTAAACTAGGTCTCTAGTTCTCTATTTGAAACCATAAAAGACGTATTGAATGCTGAACTAGTTCTCTAGTTCAGAAGTTAAAGTAGACTAAACTTAAGTTTTGTTTCATTTTTAAAGAGTAGACTTAAACTCAACAAAAATTTTATTTTCATTAAGGCTGTCTTGGTTGTTGGCTGTGATGAATGTTTGGTTTTTTAAAACCTTAAAAGACGTATTGAATGCTGAACTAGCTCTCTAGTTCAGAAGTTAAAGTAAACTAAACTGAAGTTTTGTTTCATTTTTAAAAAGTAGACTTAAACTCAACAAGAATTCTATTTTCATACTAATTTGATGTGTAATGAATGCGTGTTGTGAACTGGTTATTGTGCAATTAAGTTTAATGAATGTTTAGTAGTTAGATTGTGTGTAAAATGTAGCTTAAAAACACAAACTAAAACCTAAACATAAACCAAAAATGGATCTTTTTTTCCCTAAACTCTCCTGGGTTTGTTAACCTATTAGCTTCGCAGAGTAGTCCACCAATAGACGTGGACTATGCTGAAGCAGTAAGTAACTCTCCCGGGTTGGTTAAACCATTGCAGAAGAGAAAGTGGGCAACCAAAGAAGACCTTGTGCTCATCAGTGCTTGGTTGAACACAAGCAAGGTTCCTATTGTCAATAATGAGCTGAAGGCATGATCGTTTTGGAAGAGAATTGAGGAGTATTTCAATTCAATCCCTCAGCTCACTGGCTTCGTTCCTAGAGAGTGGAGTCAGTGTAAGCAGAGGTGGGGAAGAGTGAACGAGCAGGTGTGCAAGTTTGTGGGAAGCTATGAGGCGGCTTTGAAGGGACAAAATAGTGGCCAATCTGACAATGATGTCATGAAGGCTGCACATGACATCTTCTTCAGTGACTACCAGCTCAAGTTCAGCATGGAACACTGTTAGAGGGAACTGAGGTATTGGAAATCACAGTCATTGTCCAGAGATGGTGCAAAGGACAAAAAGAAGGAAGCTGCAGAGGTGATGCTTGACGAGGACGAGGCTAGGCCTCCGGGTGTTAAGGCTTGCAAAGCAGCCAAGCGCAAGAAGCACGGGAGTGAAGCAACTTTTGATCAAATAGAGAGCATTCTTGCTATGAAACATGACATAAACAAACATAAACTTCTTGATCGTCTCCTTGCCGAAAAAAAGACAATGATCTTTCTCCTAACGAAATCTCTCTGAAAAACAAACTCATATCTGAAATGATTGATTGAATTGGTTTACTTCCTTGATTGAATCTCTGCTTTTTAATTATTTACTTGCTTGATTGAATCTCTGCTTCTTAATTTATTTACTTATAAATTTTCTTGTTTCTTGTTTAGTTTATTTTTGTAGCTCACGGGTTGCAGGTGAAGGCTGGTTCACGGGTTGTATAATCTGGACGGGAAGTCTCTTTATGTCTGTTTCTTTCATGGGTAGTTGGCTTTATGTGTCTCTTTTCTGTTGTGTATGGAGAGGTCAGGGATAGGTAGCTTTAAGTAACTTTGTTTCACGGATGCAGTGTAGTATTTTGTTTGTTTCTACACTGCTTTTATGTACTATGTCTCACGGGTAATGTAACCTAAGCTCACGGATGCACTGAATCGACTTCTTCTATTTACTATGTACCTTTGTTCAAAACTCTATATAAACTCATCGAGCTTGCATTTACTCATCAAGCTTTTATGTACTATCTCTCTTTATAAATCTCATTCGCTCTTTATATCATTCTCAAGCTTTTATGTACTATCTCTCTTTAATGAATTACCAAGTTTGAGTTCATTCTCTCTTTATATCATATTTCTCTATTTTTACTTTTGTTAAAACTTAATCAAATTTCTCAAAAAAAAAAAGAAGTGAAAAATGTCATTTTCATCAAGTGATGAGGTATATGAAGTTTTTGAAGAAATGGCCAACCAACAAATTGATGATTTCATCGACTCTCTTGTTGATGAATCTGCCAGCAAGCCGAAGAGACGAATTTATATCGAAAGAGATCGGGAACAAGGACACACTCAACTATGGAACGACTATTTCAGTAAAAATCCTACATACCCACCCGAAATGTTTAGGCGACGTTTTCGCATGAACAAGCCTTTGTTCCTTCGCATTGTCGATCGCCTAAGTAATGAAGTTCCATACTTTCAGCAACGAAAAAATGCTCACGGAAGGTACGGGATATCTGCACATCAAAAATGTACTTCAGCTATACGAATACTGGCATATGGTCAAGCGGGAGATTCGTATGACGAATATCTTCGACTTGCGGCAAGTACTTCACTTTTATGTTTGGATAATTTCACTGAAGCGATAATACAATTGTTTGGAGATGAGTATCTAAGAAGACCTACACCGAATGATGTTCAACGATTACTCGATGTTGGAGAAGCACGCGGGTTTCCAGGGATGATAGGCAGCATCGACTGTATGCATTGGGATTGGGAAAACTGCCCAACGGCTTGGAGAGTACAGTACACACAAGGTTCATCAAAACTGACAATTGTATTAGAGGCTGTGGCATCGCATGATCTTTGGATATGGCACGCATTTTTTGGATTACCAGGTTTCCTCAATGATATTAATGTTCTTGATCGGTCACCAGTTTTTGATGACATTTTACAAGGTCAAGCTCCTAAAGTTAATTTCAAGGTCAACAACCACAATTATCATATGGCGTACTACCTTTCCGACGGTATTTATCCGAAATGGTCAATATTCATCCAATCCATCCCACTTCCTCAAGGTCCTAAAGCAGAGTTATTTGCTGAACGTCAAGAATCCACCAGAAAAGATGCCGAACGTGTTTTTGGAGTATTGCAATCGAGGTTTGCAATAGTTAGAAACCCATCTCTACTATGGGACAAGGAAAAAATAGGAAGGATTATGAGAACTTGTGTCATACTGCACAATATGATAGTAGAAGACGAACGAGACGGATACACTCAGTATGATACATATGAGTTCGAATCAGGAGAGTTAAGCAGAAGTTCCCAAGTTCAACCGACAACATCTGTGAATATCGGGAATATGCTTGGCATTCGCAATCAAATTCTGGATTCACAGACACATGCTCGTTTGAAAGGTGATTTGATTGAAAATGTATGGCAAAATTTTGGTAATCTAGATGAATAATCTTTGTATGTTCATGAATTCTTAATGTATTGAATAAAAGTTTTTTAAAAATATTTTAAAATATTATGTAAGTTTATAAATTCTCAATGTATTGAATAAAACTTTTTTAAAAAATATTATAAAATATTTTCTATCTTCATGAATTCTTAATTTATAGAATAATTTTTTTTTAAATATTTAAAAAATATTTTTTTTAATTCAAAAATTCTCATTATATTGAATAATAACTTTTCAAAAAATAAAAATTATTTTATTTTTCAAAAAATATATTATTTTATTTCTATGAACCGCGACTTCAGATTCATTGATAGAGGAGCACAATTGATCCGGGTTCATCACTATTCATGACCCCATCATAAATTTAATAAACAATACATATGAACTCCAAGAGGGGGTTCATTGATGTACATGCTCTAAGATTGTCTTTTGTATATATCTTGCTTCAGTTGTTGATATCAAAACCAAAGTGTCGCAGAGATACCCGATGATATCAGCTGCATCAGAGAAGCATTAAATTTTGTTATATGTTTTGCAATCATAGTATTCATTCTTATGGGAATGGAAATTTAAAACAAGATGACCCGGAGAAATAAGAAAATCACAATTCATTAGGCTTTCGATAAAATCAAAAAGAAAGTCCCGAGGACGCCATATTTTAAGAGCCCAAACTATGTGATTAAATAAATTCCCCTCTATCCAACATGTTGTACAACTGAGTCATCTTATTTCACTCAAGCCAGCTTGGTCTTTGTCTTGAGATGTGTGGGAAGGTGTAACTGTTATGTTGTCTCTCTCTATGCCCCCAGTCAGTAGCGGCCCTGAGGGGAAGCAATAGAAACAGTTGCTCCGGCCCTCTTTATAATAAGTAAATTTTTGGCCGTTTATTTTGTAAAATCCTTTATTGTTCAGTTGGTAAATTCCTCTGCGGCATTTAGAGGGGTGTTGGGTTCGAATCCTTCAGTACATTTTTTCGGCCTTTTATTTGTTTTGAGCTTCTGGCCTCAAATAGTTTAGGGCCGGGCCTGCCCCCACTACAAAATCATCTTTATTAAGACTTTATGTTTCACTTAATTGGAAACAATAAAGCTCATGCATGTTTCTTGAATGATTTTCTCATGTTTCAATTTGTTCTTTTGAGTAACAAGCTCTGGCTTTAGTGCCTTCATCATGTATAGAAGTGTGATACAGAACTTTAATCGCGTTTATTGCTGTTAATAACATTTCTTCCTGCTTAATTATTGACACATTGAATACAAAAAGATTTACATTCTTAGTGTAGTAGTGCAATAGCTTAGCAATAACCAACATTCTCTTGGGAAACGTGGACCCGGATAAATCAATGAATGTCTTGAGTTCCCTGTACAAGAACATTCTTAGATACACATGCACTTGTTCTGATACTGTGGAGCACCAGCGCAACGGACAACATCAAGGAAAGTGCTCACATCGCATGGAATCCATAGCCTGGAGTCAGCACTGAAACCGTAAGCATCCTCTGCCTGATTCAGCAATGCCTTGAAGAGTGGGTGTTTAAGCAAGCTGATCTTTATCACAAACCTCCTGGACTCCTCACCCACATAGATAACCAAGTGTCCCTTAGGGACATCTTTTGGTATCACATCGGCTTCTTTCTTGAACGTCCAGCAAACTCTTTTACAGCATGTCTCGCAAAACGTGCAAGGTGTTGTGACTTTCCCTGTCATCATTTTCAGTTTCTTTTCAAAGGACTTGATGAACTTGCTCTTCATTTTAGCAGGAGGAGAAGATTGATATATAACAATTAACTAGTTATAGATAAGATAGATAGAATGTTGTGATGAGAGGATGTATCTTTAGATGAGGGTACAAGGTGAAGAATGGGTTTATATAGATATGAAGTAGAGTTATCAGAGCTCCTCATTAAATGTTTGAGCATGACATTTAGCCAAAAGGGGTGAGATATGGGCAACTTTAAAAAAAATGATACAGTACTTTTATCCAATCATTTTCTGCTTATAAAAATGCATCTTCATGCGAAACTGTACGAACACACACTCTATATGGTTAGATCGTTGTGCAATAAAAAAATGCTCAACACTGTTTTGCTTAGTTCAATTTTTTTTTTTCAATGAATGCTTATTTCAAATTGCTGTAAGAGTTCTTGAAGTTCATCGGGTGGGGGATGGGATTAAGACAATATAGAGGAGATAAGTTGATATGAACATTTGTTCCCACAAGAATTAGACTAAAGATCTATGCTAAATTTTCTCTTAACTCTCTTGGAAATTAAGGTTAATTCTTGGAAGTTCTTTATTAATCATTTGAAATTTTTATGTAGGAATACAACTTAATAGAAAAATGAAAACACTTTAATCGAATATAAAAAGTAAAACTTCAAAACTAATACTTAAATGAAAAAGCACCAAAACTTTTAATTTTAAGTATATATCTTAATATATTCTAACCACAGTCATGAATCAGAAGTGTGACCCTGGTTTATGATTCATGCATCAGTTTGATCTGCAGAAATACTTGTCTCTAGAATCAGATCACCTTATTTTTCCTAGAGTTGTGTTGGATCTAAGCAGCCCAAGTTCAAGTGACTTCTTGACTTGTCTACATGAAGTACTACAGAACTCTGCAATGATGTTGCTAAGTGTTATCAGCGTTATACTTGGTAGCAGTTGCTGTATATGCTAATCAGACTTGGCAAAAAATTTACAGACCGGTCAAATGCGGTTAGGTAGTGCAGTGCAGTAAAAGTAGACGGGAAGATTCTGGTTCACATGGACTGATTATAGAACCCTGAAATAATGTTGCTATGATCAGCTTTTGATGACAAATATAAACTCTGATTGTGAAGCTGTATAATAAGGTAAATTTAGCATTTACATGTGAGTTTCAACTTTTCAACTTAACAAAAAGCACCGTACAAGTAGACGGGGACGAATGTAGTTCACAATATATAGATAGAGATGGTAAAAGAGTTATTGTCTCCTAGGAGGTTACATAGATGGAGAAGTGGCAATATTGGAGGGTCCATATGAAGAGAGAAAGAGAGTATCATTGATGAGGGTTCATCCCCCTAAGAACTCACAAATATGGTTCCTTCTAAGTGAGTAAGAGAACCACATTGTTACACCATTTCTTTTCCAAAATGTCTCTCTCAGATTCTCTGTTATGTTTGTGTTGTGTGTGTGTTTTCTGAAGTTGGTTTGAGTCTGTCAAATTCAGTCACAACGACTGCTATTCTGAAACTAAGCTGGATACTTCTGCATTTTATTAAATGCGAGCATGTGCAACTCTGATGATGTTATCTACACTTCTCCCTTTTCCTGGAAAATAGAAAGAAAAAAAGATTTGGCCACAGAACCTGTAGAAACTGCCTTCTAAAATTAGAGTACATGGTTTGGAATTTGTATTTACTAATTAAAAAAAAACTAAACCTTTTTTATTAGGATGATAATATATATATATAACACTATAAAATATATAATTTTAAATGGATAACAATTTTGTTTATATATATGATGGGTTAGTAATACTGAACTCAAAACCATGAAACATATCATGTGTTAAGATATAATGGATATCTTATTTAACATTTTTACTTTTATTAACTTAAAATTTTTAATGTTAAAAATTTCTGGTTCATTTTTAGGATTTTATTTTATTTTGAGCTGGGCCAGACTATTTTTTCATTGAACATCATTACAAGTCACACAAGTCTTCATGGTTGGTTCTAAGCACACGTGCATTGCCGGTAGTCTTTGGTTTGAACTTGCAAACAACAGACACTGTTATTATACTCGATAGTGATTGGAATTTAAAAACTGGACCAGCAAGCTAAGATCGTTCCCCACTGCCCCCTCCCATCGAATTGGACACAAGAAAGAAGTTAGAGAGTGTTTACTGTTATATCCAATGTTAAATAAAAGACCATTTGATTCATGAATATGGTATAACTCATGAACAACTCACAATAAGCGTGTGTGTCTGTTTACATATAAGGTTAATACCATCTCAGGTAATGTTTTGCTATTGCCTAATCACTTATACAAATCAATTCTAGAATACGTTTTACAAAAGAAAAAAATGCAATTAAATGGATCATTCTAAAAAGTTCACTTTTATAATTTTAAAGTAGAAACTGATTCACTCAACCGTACGAATATTTATTTTTAACTTTTGATTTTTATTTGTATTACATATTAAAATTATATTACATAGTAGTTGTAATATAATCAGTGTTTTGAAACTCGTCCAGATCCGAGATGGAACTGGTAATATCAGTTATCTATATGTAATCAAATTTAGGTTTTAGAAAAAATTGTTATATAAAAATCTAATAAAAACCGCAAAAAAGTTAAAATCTAGAATCCAACTATATGTTCGACTATTGGTTGGTCCACACACTTGATAACTTCTATTTATTGTTTTCTTTAGATTTTTGTAACTATGTTATTAAAATTTGTTTTCTATTCTGTATAAAAAATTAGGTTTTTACTTTTCACAATCATCTTCCCTCTACTGTTGTTTTTGTTTGTCTTTCGATTTTTATGTTGTTTGATTTTTTATTTATCGTAAATCTTACTTACAATGACTTTTGTAATTTTTATTTGTCGTTTTTAGATTTGTAAGAAAATTTCATTATATCACCAGAAGAAAAGTAACAATGATAGAGAACTAATTATAACATATTACAATTGAATATTTGTTTTGGGTTTATTTTAGATTTAGAGCTTAATTTTAATATTCTCATTAGATATTAATATACTAATGAATATTAAATTTTGATATTCTTTTAATATGTTATAGTTTCTATCTTGTTACAAAGAATTATATATTTTTTTTTAATAAAGTAGATATATTTACCATCATTGACAACTTGTAACCTAAACTTGAACTTAAATTGACAATTCCAGCCTTCGCGGTTTAGCTAAAATATGGACCCATAATCATTACCAAAATGTTTCTGTCTGCATTTAGGTTTCTAAAACTACTGTATACATGTAGTACTTTACGTTAAGGATGATACATTCAATTAATGATACTACAGTATTCTTCTACCGAAAAATAAAATAAACTTATAATGATATTCTTTTTGTAGGGAGGGGACAACAACACCAAACACACAAATAAGAAAATTTAGACTAAAACGAGCATACATACATTCAATCTAAGACTTATTTGCAAATGATAAAAATTCTGTGAGTATTCTTATCTGAAATTGAACCAATAGCATAGTACTTATGTAAACTTATTTGCAAATGATAAAAATTCCTATTTTAGCCAACATATAAAAAACGTGGTAAATATTTTTGGCACGGTAAAAGCGAGGTAAAAGCGTGGTAAATGTTTTCGATGTGATGAAAACGTGGTAAATGTTTTTGGCGTGGTAAAAGCATGGTAAATGTTTTTGGCGTGATGAAACCTTGGTAAATATTTTTATAAAAACATATAAAAAGCGTGGTAAATGTTTTTATATGTTTTTTATATGTTTTTATCTGTTTTTATATGTTTTTATAAGTAAACCAATGTTTTTATATATTGGTTTACTTTTATATTTTTTTATATATAAATGTTCATATATGTTTTTATATTTTTACTTTTCTTGGCAAATGTGCAACTGTGCAAATGCTAAAAGCGTGGTAAATGTTTTTATATGTTTTTAAATGTTTTTTATATATTGGTTTACTTTTCTTGGCAAATGTGCAACTGTGCAAATGCCAAAAGCGTGGTAAATGTTTTTAATATATTGGTTTACTTTTATATGTTTTTTATATATTGGTTTATTTTTCTTGGCAAATGTGCAACTGTGCAACTTTTCTTGGTTTTTAAAAAGAGTACCAAAGTGTGAAATTTCTTTCTTTTTTCTCAATCATCTTATTTTTGTAACAATCACTGAAATATCTTTGAGAGACGATCAGCCTGATAGAGAAAAAAGTAATAGACCGTCCGCCATGTTAATTACCGGAGAAATTTTCTGCCGCCGGAGATTAACTCACCGGTGTTAGGGTGACGCCATACCACAAAGCCTCTGTAGTTAGAAAACTTCTTAATGCGCTAGACGTGGAAGAGATGGAAAGGATTCCTCAGTCACCGTTTGGAAAACTGGTCGAGATTGCAGATAAACCAGCCTCTCAGGAATATTCGGTTGATATATCATTTCCAGACAACTTAAAGTTGCGAAGAAGCATGAGGTTTGGTTCCTGTTCCCTGTTCCATGTGGATTTTTATACCAAGCTTCGAAAGTAACGTCAGTTATGTCTGAACAAATGATAAATTTTATAGCCTGTGTTGTCATCCTCTATTTTTATTTTTATCTAACCATTGTGTTATGTTTCGACGGCAGCTGTATGACTCGTTAATCCGATATTAATGATTGTTTGGTTCTGTTTTGATTATTAAATGATATAATTTTTGTTTCAACTGGCCACACAAAACCGAAGCTTGGTATTTTTTTTTCTAACCGTATGTGCAAAGGTTAGCCGTCTAACAATTAATGTCTATTATTAGGAATAATACTATAGGCAATTTGTTTAGCCAGCTAAGTATAAAATTAGCGAGTTTCTGACTTTATTGCTCATCTAAGTCACACTCTAGCCGGCTAATAGTGTGACACTATTATATACCTCATGATTGACACGGTTGACATTTGTACAAGTGTTTTGGGACTAATAGCTTAGACTATATTTTATTGGGATGAACGGTTTTTATAGGTTGGTGTATAATATCACACCAATAGGAGATATGGTTTAGGATTTAGTCTTTCGAGTTTATGGTTTAGGTTTCAGGATTTAGGGTTTAGGAATTAGGTTTTAGGGTTTAGTGTCATATAATTGTATAGGGTTTAGGGGTAAGAGTTATGAAAGGGATGAGAGATTAGTTATATAAGTGTTTAGGATTTAAAGTTATATAAGGGTTTAGGGTTTAGAGATATATAAGGGTTCATGGATTATGATTTAGGGAATATGGTTACTTAAGGATATATGGATTAGCCTATGGGATTTAGGGTTTAGCGGTGTATTTAGGTTGAGGGAGTAGGAGTTATGGTTTAGTCATTGAGGGAAACGAACATTGGTTAGCCAATTAACATTGGCCACACAAAACCGTAGTACAATATTTTTGTTTCTAACAGTATGCGCAAGGTTAGCCGTCTAACAAAGTTAATGTATTGTATTAGGATTAATGCTATAGGCAATCTGTTTAGCCAGCTAAGAACAAAATTAGCGACCTTCTGACTTTATTGCTCATCTAAGTCACAATCTAGCCGGCTAATAGTGTGACGATATTATATACTTCATGATTGAGACGGTTGACATTTGTACAAGTGTTTTGGGGTTAATAACTTATACTGTATTTTATTAAATTGAACGTTTTCTTATGGGTTAGTGTATAATATCACATCAATAGGAGATATTGTATATGATTTAGTCTCTAAGATTTAGGGTTTAGTGTTGTTAGGGCCTCAGGGTTTAGGGTTTAGAGATTAGCCTGTAGAGTTTAGGGGTTAGCGGTGTATTTGTGTTGAAAGAGTAGGAGTTACAGTTTAGTCATTCAGGGAACTAAACATTGTCTAGCCAGTTAATATTTCCCTGATTAGCTATATAATATGTTACACGGCTACTCAATTGTCAATACCAAAAGCTTTATTGGGAGATTTTTTTACCGTTAAAGATAGTGAACTCTTAAACTTAACCAGTCTTATTGGAAAATTTATGCCGATGGTACAAAAACTTTTGCTAATTTAACCAACAATCTTAACATAGAGTGACTATAAACATAAGGTGAGACAAAGATTAAAAACAGAAAAAAACTTATTATTTAGCATGATAAATCTTTATCCAAATCCCCTACATATCTCAGATGGTGTTCTTGTCATAATATCAAACATAATTAGAAAATTATTCCACCATCTGCATCCTCCAACCCATCCAATACAATTACATAAAGATATAGTTTTCAATTAAACTAATTTTAAAATAAAATCTTAGGAAAATCTTTTGTTAAATTTGTTTACAGCTGGATGTTTGCATCAGAGGTATCCTGAAGCCACTGCATAATTTAGTTTACTGTTGCAAGTTCGTGTAATGTAAATGAAATCTTTATATTATCTTACCAAATCTAACTAAAAATCTTGGGTCAGAAAAAAATCCTAGAAACCTAAAACCAGGAAGGTAACTCGTCAAGCTTCCAGGGTATGTTCGTCTTTTTTACTCCTCTTTTGGTGCCACATATGCACAAGTTTTCAGTCTTTAGTATTCTCTTAATATCTGTATCTTCCATGGTTTTAGCCTAAATTGCTCAAAAAGAAAAGAGAAGAAACAATTTAGAAGAAGTCAACATTTGCATTGACTAAAAGTGATATGGGCAGGGGAAAGAAAATATTTCATCTCTGTCAGAGGCTTTGCTCTTGATATGTTTCGATATTTTAATAAGATCGTCCTTTGTATTTCTGCTGATGTGGTAGAAAGTGTGAGATGCCATCTTTCGTCAATGTGAAGATTAAGATTGCAATGAGAACCTGATCTAAGATTCACTCTGTCGATCAGCTCCTCTCTTATCTTTTAAATTGGCGTTTGATATCAATAAGAATGTATTTCCTAGAGTTCTCATCTAACTATCTATATCAGCAAGCTTTTCTGAACTGGAGTCATACTCGGTTTCATATAACAACATACAAGATGCCAATAAAACTGATATCCTAAAGACAACGTAAACTTTCCAAAACAGTTCAAATGATTTGGTATCGATTTTAGTATACTAAGACGTTCTCCATCAAGACTTATCGACTCTTCTTCTTTTTTTTCTTCTTCCTTGAAGTACTTGGGCTTCTTGAGGAGCTATGAACGAAACACAATGACTTGGAGTAGAGTGAAGCAAGTTCTCTTACACGATGTAGTATATCCTTAGGGATAGTGCGAGCTGCTGACCTTCGTTTTTCTTCAACCTGAGTATTCACAAAACTGAGTTAAACAGATGATTTATCAAAACTTTAACAAAAGAGCAGAGGAAAAAGACAAACCTCTTCATCAACGTTAGGCTTGTTACTGTAAGTTGCTTTCAATAGATTACGCCATTTATCCTGCGTAATAGGTTTTGAGGAGAAGAAAGTTGAGACACTACGCACTACTATGAATAAAGAGTTTGATTTTGATCAGGTGAATGGTGAAAGAAGATACTCTGATATCAACAGGAGTGCGGTGCGATGATGAATGAAAGAACAAGTTCTTTATATCAGTCCATTTGCCAACACCAAAGTGAGAGATACCATCAAGCAACTTCACCACTTCATCAATAGTCCACATCCTCTGATGCTTTCTCCTGACACTTTTTCTTTTGGATTTGATTGTTACAGATATGCCATCTTCGCTCTCAGATGAAGTTACTGAATCATCAGATGATAATACACTCTCCTGCAATAATATCAGGTTTTAAAATTAGATTAACAAATTAATGTGAAAACACTCAATAGTATGACTTAGAGAGTAATCCAAACTGTTGCATGATGAGTGCAGGTCTCCAGAGGTTCTTTCCGAGGCCTGAAGTCATAGGACACACAAGACTTTTTTTCACTGAAAGAGTCTACTCTGCAACATTGAAAACGACAGCTTCTCCTGCCTCGTCCAACCCAAGAGCCTAGTAGAGTGGATAGTGGCTTCCTGTCATCTTCTGACTCATAAGAACAGTCCATCTCGTTTGAGTTTGTTGTAGCAAAGCCATATTTAACATTGCCACAGCTGGATTTAGCATGTAGAACAGTTTCTTTTGACAACTCGGAGAGTCCGATGCTTCCACTAGGAGAATAAGATTCTGAGCTGAAGTTCGTAAGACCATAGTGTTCACCAGCTAATTCAGATGCTTCCTTCTTGACTTGTGTTTCTGCAACTAAAGTTATCGAATGGAGTGTAAATTTTAAGCCATGTATTATTGCTCAGAGATGATAGAATTACATAAAAAAATTACCAGGAAGGGAATGGTTAGCAGTAGAAGGTGGATGGTGTGATGCGTAGATATGTTCTACTTCCTCAACTTCATCAAGAAACCCATCAAGAATCTACGAGATGAGTATACAGCAATAAGAAGTTCGTTTTACATGAATGACCAAGAAAGAAACCATGTGATGGAGAAGCATAAAGATGAAGACATACTTCTGGCTTTAAACCTGCTTCACCATCTTGCTTGCTCCAAGGATCTAGTCCACCTTCAAAGAAAAAATGAAAGATAACTCCGTCATTAACCAACCAAACTCCCATTGACAATGTTGAAAAGCATTCAGCATTACCATAATATGGGAGAAAGCTAAAGTCAAATCCATAAGAAAACTCATCCATCTTGGAGCTGATGCCCATATTCTCCATACCAAAGCCTAAGAAACTGTCCACAGAGATATTGTCATGTTTAGATTCCATTTTGTCCACCACTGAATGGTAAACATTCTCATCAACCTATCAAGAAAAGAAATGTAAGAAGATGGATCAAAAGATACATTCGTTAAAATGCACAAGTGAAGAATAAGAAAGAAGATGTTCTCACACTGAATCCAGCAAAAGTTTGAAGAGAATCAGGTCTTTGGTCCATCCCAAAAGGCACTATTCCAGTCCAGTCCAAGTTTGTTTCTACACTGTACAATATTCACAAGTACGTCGTCACAATTATTGAACAGAACGCAACAATGTTTGGTTCCCCCATAAACCAATCTAATATAACAAATCACAAAGCCAGAAATTTTCATAATCCATATTGTTTAATACTAAACAAATACACAACAAGAAGCATGTTGTCTTCCCTCAATTTATTTTTATTTTTTTAAATATTACTTTTGACCCTATTGAAAAAAAAAAAATGAACAGACATTCTAATTTAGACAGATATCTGTCGGATTATCTTTTACGATAAACACAACAAAAAAAACGAAACTTTGAGCTACAAATTGTTTATTACAGTCACCAATTCGAAGGCAATGGAACAGAGAGAAAGAACAAAAAGATATTACATAGAAAGTGGGCCACAGAGACAAACATAGCCCACCACAATCCTAGAAAAAACAAATATTTTTCCTGGAAAATAAAAATGGAAAATCTCTCAGTTTTAATCATCCTTAAACTCAACTCCTACTCCGATAGACATACATTATGATCTATCACAAGAGAATCTAAGATATACATAACGAGATATAACTAGTATAACTAGTATAAGAGATCATTCAACAGAGAATCAACGAGAAGAGAGGGAACACTGACGGAGATGATGAACGGCGACTTCTTGTGTTGTACTGTGGATGAGCGTTGTTGCGGATTCCAAGAGCTTTATTTAATGAGTTTGAAATCCAAAAGTGACGTACGTCTTAATATAACGTGCGTTTCAAGTCCGCAACGATGACAGATGTTCTTCATGAACGTTTCACTGTTTTATTATCCTCTCCTCTCACTCCTGACTCGGTTAACGTAAAAGTTGCTGGATTCCTTTTAACGCCGTTTATAATTATGATGACTCATTTTCATTTGACGCCGTTTAAGTTAACATAAACATGGGCTATAAGGCCCACTGTTCACTAGTGTACGGTAATGTCAAATTAAATAAATAAAAACACTTGTCGTTTCAGAAAACTAAAAAGGATCAGTCTATTCCTTGCCGTTTTGGTTTTACAGAAACATACTCCTTGCCGTTTTGGTTTTACAGAAACATACTCCTTGCCGTTTCATCAATAGAGCTAAACAAAGTCACAAAGAGTAGAGTGAAAGACTTAGGATTGGTCTTGGACGTTGGGAGGAGGAACATCTCCACCAGAAATCAAACCTCGGATCTTGACATCATAGTACACTTCTTCCACTCTTCTCAAGTCATATTTCATACCTGTTTTTTTTTTTAAGAAAATTATGTTCATCACTATCTCACACTTATAGCTCTAAAGTATATATATATTATACAATTTGGAGAGAGTTACTTACTGTCGAACTTCTTGCGCAGAAAATCGTTCCTGAGGTTGAGCATACGGAAGGCAGCATGAAGATCCGTCAAGAAGTTCATCACCTTTCTCGGACAGTCATAGTCTCCTGCTGTTACTCTATTCACCACGTACCTAGGCTGCTCCAAACATCATTTGCATTAAGATCTTCACTTTTTAAGGAACTGAAATAATGTTTAAGGGGACAGAAATGATCATTATACCAAATCGTTTGACATGAAGCAAATTCCTGCAAAGTATTACCAAAAAGAAACCTGAATATCAGAATATGTATTTGAATATTCCCAGACCAAATTACAAGTTCTATCTCAGAAACATACCAGTCAGATAATCTTCTGTCTCCAGTCCAAACTCCATACTGTTCACTGAAATATTATGAAGTGGAACTATAAGATTAATAACTCAGTATCTGTGATACATCAAATCTTATCAGCACTAAAATAACAACAAGCAAGACCAAGGAGTAGACTACCAAGTAAACTGATAAGAAAGTTCATTAAGTGTGAATAGAAGAAGAATGGTTAGAAACTGAATCCTTACTATTACTGACAAAAAAAAGTAGAAGATTCGTTCATTCAATTTCAAAAGAGACAGATTAGAAAGAATAGGGCCGTATGCGACTCAATAGGATGGTTTACTGCCACAACAGCTGGTATCTATTGTCTTAAATGGTGTACGTATATGTCTTGTCTAGTAACTGGTTCACATTGGAGCAAGAGAACACTAGGTCGTCGTGATATATATTTGGAAGAACGGAAAAAGAGAGTAAATGGAGATGAAGAGACATACACCCAAGTTTGGCTTCAGCTTCTGTATGCACAAGAAGAGTTCCGGTTTCTAGCCAGTGCATAAAAGCAAGCTGGGAAACCACTGCCTGTGTCTCACTTCTCCAATCCGCATGGTACCTGAAACCACAAAACCTTTATCACTAACTAAACCATTGTAAGAAACAAAAGTCTACCCACATGTAGCTACTAGACTTACCTATAGTACTGTCCAGGACATTTCTGAAGAATCTCAGCAAGCTGGCCGTAAAACTTCTTCAAATCATTGATCTTTTCCTTAGCTTTCTCGATGATCTCTGCTCCATTAACAGAAACATCAACGTTATTAGTAACAAGTAACAAGCATACAGCTTCAAAGTGATAATCTTTAAGCACAAAAGCTCAATCTGTGATTAAAGCTCCAATCTTTCCTCAAGAACAAGGACCCAGCTCGTGTCTGGAGACAAACCCAGAACAACAAGTGACACCAAGATTCATTCTTTCGTCAAGAACAAGTACAAAGCTTGTGTCTGGAGACAAGCAAGTGACTCCAAGATTCATTCTTTCCTTAAGAACAAGTACTCAGCTCGTGTCCGGACACAAACCAAGAACAACAAGTGGCTCCAAGATTCATTCTTTCCTCAAGAACAAGTACTCAGATCATGTCCGAACACAATCCCAGAACAACAAGTGTCTCCAAGATTCATTCTTTCCTCACGAAAAGTGCCCAGATCGTGTCTGGAGACAAGCCCAGAACAACAACAAGTGACTCCAAGTGTCATCCTTTCCTTAAGAACAAGCAGTACTCAGCGGATGACAAGTGACTCCTACCTAGCTCAAAAAGCCAAAAACAGTAGACAAAGAAGAAGAACGAAACTAAATCATTTACCAGGAATGGGTCGAGACTGATGAACGAGAAGTAGGTTAGCTTGAATGAGCCTCGTGGCCGACTCAATCTCCATAACCACACCACGAATCTGCTCTCTCAAAGCTGCAGAATCTTCAAGCTCAGCACGGAAGCTCTCGAACTGCTTCTCGAGCAAATGAGACTCCGGTGGAGGGACCTGGTCATCTACTCCCGCCATAGGAATGTAGAAAGACGAAGAAGAAGAGGATGAGGAGAAAGGGAAGGATGAGGAAGGAGTCGCTAAGTTTCGACGGCGGCGAGGAGCAGTGGAGATGGAGGAGAGAGGGAGAAGATGGACGAGTTTAGGGTTTATGAGACGAGACGCTGTCAAGTGAAGGCTGCGATACGCTGAGTTCATCATCTGTTTATGTTAACTTGCGCCGCTTCATTTTTTCTCACCTTTATGAACCGAATTGAAAATAAACCGGAACAAATAAACCAATCCAAATTGCAATAGCGAGATAGAGTTACAACAAAAACTTGTAATTTGTATAATGATAGTTTCAAGGGCAATTCTCCTAAGTAAACTTTTTGTGACAAAAAATACACAAATAAATAAAATAAATTACATTGAAGAAGTAAATGACAATTATATTCTTAAATTATAAATATATAAAATTATAAATATTAGAAAAAATTAAAATTAAAATTAAAATATAAAAGTTTTTTCGAATTTGATTTTCCAGTTTTTTTTACGAAAACGAAAATTTTCAGATATTTTTATCAAAAATATTTTTAAACCATAAATTATAAAAAAAATTAACTTTAATTTCAAACCCTAAACTTATTTTCTTATCAACCCAAACCCTAAACTTGATTCCACAAAATCTGAATTTTAAATATAAATTAATTGAGCATATGAGTATAAATGTTTTTAATAATTTTATTGATTATTTTAATCCTTAGTATATTTTTTTTATAAAAATCTTTATTTCAATTATATATGGTATTTTATATTCAACTATATTTTTTTCGCGATTTGCGCGAATTATATATTATGAATCTGTTAACTCTCAATTTTATTATGAGCGGATTAATATTCTAAAATTTTTGTTAACTTTCAATTTATATTATTATTATGAACAATGTTATCTATTTATTTTATTTTTTGTCCATTTGTAATTCAATATTTCACTATTTTACTTTACGTTGTCAATGTGTATTATCTTTTGAAGTAGTGTAGGTCAATGTAAAAAATAATAATTTTACTATTTTAAGATGTAGTTATATTCTATGGAACCATACCCACTAAAACAATCTTTTCTATTAAAGGAGAAGTACTAAATTTATCTATTATTTAGTAGTCATACTAGGTCTATCTATCAAAATAACAAAAGCATTTGTATATATCTTAACTACAAGATTCTACAAGCCAACTATTTCTCATATATATACTTAAAGATATTTCAAATGGTTAAAATCAAAACAAAAATGAAAATGGTTAGCCTACTGATGTACCATTTTATTCAATTTTTTTTCACCACTGAAATTTAACAAAAGCACAAACCTCTTTATATTATTACTGCAACATGTAATTTCTAATGTGATAACCATTTGAAACCTCTTATGTTATTAACTACAACATGTAATTTCGATTGATTTCATCAAACATAATACAATATAAAAAATAATAATATAGACTTTGACTTAAAAACTTATCGAATGTGTACCGGAAAACCATACAATGTGGATACAACTATATAACTGCATGTAGTCTCATGACATACCAGTTTAATACAATTCTATAATTCTAATCGTATTCGTCCACTTACGAATTTTTTTTCCTCACTAACAAAACCTTATAACTATTTTCTGTATATTACAAAATATACTAAAGCATATATAAATATTCTGTCCTCACTTTATTACTTAATCATCGTAAGATTTCTCTTCCCTAAATATTCTAAAATCATGTAACACATTTTAACAGGAGAATATATGATATTTGTTAAACAAATCACGTCATACAAATCTCATTATCTAACTCACAAATATATTTATCATTTAGTTACCTAAAATCTAGGTATCCCAAAGATCAAATAACCACTACATATATACTGCACAAGTTTCTGACTGTTTTTTCACATCTAAACCACTTCAAAATGTTTTTAAACAAGAGCGTAACTTTAGTCAAGAATGTAAAACTTTACAAAACTGGTTGATGTATCCAAGTTAAGCTGTTTCATTCATGACAAATATTTATTCTGGTCGTGTAGACAACGATACAAATCAAGAACAAAATAAAAATAAAGAAGATAATCCATAAAAGTAACTTATATATCTATTAATATATCAAACAACAATGCAAATTGTACACAATCATACATGTGGAAACATATACAAACCGTTTAAGCAAAAAACATTTGAAAACAAAAACAATTACAAATAAAAAACAGTTACATATATTATATTGTTGCAAATAAATATAACATCCGCGCTGGTGCGCAGATCCAAGTCTAATAACGATTAAGAAGGTAGAATGATTGGTTTTCTTCTTCTTTGTAGTTGAAGTACTTTGTTTAATTGTTAATTATGTAGGTATGTGGAAGACATTATTATATTTTTGCATTATATTTCTATCCACAATTGGCGATGAAAAGTGAAAACAGTATTAGGCAAACACCTATTCAGTGAAACCATATTTGAATAAATGATCAAACGCTCATATGTAATATAAACTTTAAATAATAATTTTATTATGTTGTATTCAAAAACACATATATCAATTTAATGAACATATCTTACTGTTTTATCATAAAGGTTTTTTCATAACATAATTTTTACATTTGAATATAAGTTCTTCTATGTTAATTGTGTATTGTGTTTGAAATCTTGTGAGTTTTGATCTTGTTTCTTTTGTTTTCTATTTATTTCGAACATGTGGAAGTATGAGTCATACCCAAGTATGAGCCATCCCCAAAACTGCTAAGACCTTTAATTTCTCTTAATGATCATTTATTTACGTTACAATAAAGTGGTTGGTAACAACTAATAACCGAGATGAGACATGAAATAATCTAAAGGAATCCAAAATTGGATGAACATTGCTTTAATAAATATACGGAAAAAGGTTTATTCTCTCTTTGTGCTTCAGATTGCTTAGTAGTGGATCCTTGCAATCTAAGTGAAATTGTTCAAAGGCGATAACTAAAATCAAAAGGTCTAAAATTATTAAAAAACAAGAAATGTGTTTTTGGAGCTTGTAAACGATGAATATTACATAATAACTCTCGTCATTGAGGAAGGTGTTTTACCCACTTCCATAATATGTGATGCTTACAAATCCTTTAGACCGGATCTTTCTAAGAAACACCAGAATTTTTCCACAAACTCTATGTTAAAACCTTTCCACCAAGAAACTAGGGAATATAGTTTTCACATCCTGGAACCCAATTCCTACACAGGTCTTGGAAAGTATTCAAACTGAATCAGTCATCACCGCATCAGTCTTGGTCAAGCCTCTTAACGTCTGGACAATTTTGACACTTTCCCATACACTTGAAGCCACGTCGGAGCCTTTCATGCATGTCACCTCCTTCTGAAACTCATCCAACAACACATATCATGATTTCTTGAAAATTTCTCCCATACAAACTTCTATTCTCTTCAATGGAAATCCAACAACTGGAACTGCTTCCACCGTCTTAAATGTACGTCCATGATAACATTTGAGAGAAGGGTTGTGGAGGCTAGCTGATTGCAGTTGAGAAAGTTATAATGCTTCACCGGTGTTCTTGCAAGAATGTGCAAGCTTATCAGGAATCAGATTATCTTGGATTATACGTAGGGTTGCTACTCCATATTAACAATGTTTAACTTTATTCTGAAGGAGCTAACGTGAACAACTTGTAGTTTTTCACAATCACTATAACTTGATTAGGATGAAGAAGATTAATCAGAGCCCATTTCAATCACCATCTCCATGCATCTAGCTTGAGTTTTTTCTTCTTTCCTCTGTTTTGTCACAGTAGTTTCTCCTCTGATTTCAAGTTATGTAGTAGAATTCACTGAAGTTCTCAGTAATGAGGAAAGCTTTACATACTCTAATAGCGACATGTCTAAGAATCTTCTCATGAGAATTGCCTTTTCTCAGCAACGCTAATTTGCTTAGACGTTCATTGAAAGGTTAAGGATAATTAAAAAAAAAACTCAAAATTGTCAAGATTAAAGCATATTTCAGGGAGAGTCTGAAAGATATGTATAGACTATGCCACATCTTGGAGTCCGTTTTCATTGTTTTCCCCAACTCCGAGAAAAATGGTTTTTTTTTTCTTCGCTTCTTTTACACTGATGGATGTTACAAAAAAAAGCAGATTTAGTTGGCAAACTAATACAGGCCACTACGAAGACTCTAGCTACCACAAGTGTCGTTTGACCTGAAAGCATTCAGAATCTTCTATGCATGTGAGTCGGAGGTAATACTATCAGAGGCAAAAATATTGAAAAAGAAGGAGAACAAACTACAACACTAAAAATCTTGACCACTGTAATTGAAAGAGTTTATGGAAGAAAAACTGAGTCAATTATTAAGAGAAAACACACCAAACAATCCAAATGAGAGAACTAAATTGAATTCAGTATTATGGAAACCATACCTCTTTTAGTGAAACATATTCTATCTCAGCAAGATTAGCGTATTGTTATAGTGAGACATTGTAAAAAGCAGAACGCGCACAGGAAAAGAATCTTTGGTGAATTTGACCAGTATCAATACCAAATGTTTTGCCTTTCTGGCCTGACCTTTGGCCTTCCCTTCAGGTTACTCTTCTGCTAGATTCCGAGCAATAAGATGCTTATGTGAGACACGATCATGGAACTGTCATTCTAAACTTTCAATATCAAAATTAAGGTTAAAGTTTTCTATGGTAAATAGAATGAGAGCTCACTACTGAATCATCTCCTTTAGTTTTCATGAAAGCAATTTTGAATGTGTCTGCAAATCGTAAAGATCAATCACTGCTCTCACAAATCAAAGCAAGAGGAAGCAACAATGGAAATGGAATTATCTTGAGATCCATCATCTCTTACACTCTCTATACATTTCAAAGGTGCCAAATAGTAATAAAGCCATAAGTATTACCTTGAAATCATCAGTTCAACAAAAGCCTTGGTGATTCCAGATTGAATCTTCTGTGGTCTTCACCATCAACATCATCTTTAAAGCCTTCTTCCTCTTCGAATTCGTCAAAATTAGGCGCTATTTTAGCATCAGAGAAGATCTCACGAATCGTTACCACTTGTGGCTTCATTGATTCATATTCGTCGTCATCGTCATATTCTTAGAGATTTTCTCAGTAACCTTAATCATGTCAACCGACTAAGAAATCATATTTGAGTGAACGGGTTGCTTTGACGATA